CCCCCACACCATCCCCAACCCAACCCACACCCTACCCCCAACCCCCACATCCACCCAAAACAAAATATTATTAAGAATACTTTCTTTTTAAGTTGTAGAGAGAGTACTTTCTTTTTATTTCAACTAAATGAATATTTTCTTTTCATGACGTGAAAAAAGTATTTTCTTTCATTTGAACAAAAAAAAAAAACTTTATTTTCATGAAGTAAAAAAATATTTTCTTTCATCTCGAATAGTAAAGATATTTTCTTTCATTTTAACAAAATGAGTATTTCTTTTCATGACGTGGAAAAAATATTTTCTTTTATTTTATCAAAATGACTAATTTCTTTTAGGAGGGTTAGGAAATTTGCATAAAAAATTATTTTCCTATTCTATAAACAAACATTAGAAAATATTTTTCGGAAAAAGTTTTACTCACCAACCAAACAAGAAAAAATAAGTGATAACCCACTCATTTTCCAAGAAAATATTTTCTATGAAAAATATTTTCCTTCGTACCAAATACACCCTTAAACTTAATATTTCAGTTTCTTTTTAAAATATTTGAAAAATTAAGCTGACTTTTGAGAATTTGAGTATTATATTAAGGACTTATTAAACAAATATTATTTTAATTTAAAAATGTCTTTTGGGCTTATGCCTCACTACAAAAACGCGCCGGGCGTACAAGAGACTTTCACCCCCTGTCATCCGAAAATACCTTTTAAAACACTGATATTTAGCCAAAAATAATTATATTAATATAAAATATATATATTAATATGTAATATAAATTAATATACATTTGCTTTAAAATATATATATTAATTCGTCCCCTTTTATTTGAGCGCGCTTTCTACAGCTCCTAAGCCATCTCGCCGCCGGCGGAATCGAGGTGTAAGTGTACTGCTTCTTTCTCGTTAGAGCTCTCTATCCCCTCCTCTTCACCTTTACTTCATACTTTTGGTGTTTTTTGATTAAAACAATAATTTGGCGCTGTGGAACGTTTTTTCGTATTTGATTTTGTTTGATATTAAGTTAGTCGAAGGGGACAACTAATGAAATTCCAAAAGCTCTCATTAATTACTTCAAGATAACTCTTCAATTCCAAATACTTGCACTGTATTTTTCTTAGTATTTACATTTCTTGGTTTGGTTGTAAAACTAAATTATACGTATGTGTTTTGTGAGGATTCCATTAAATTGCATTTGTAATTAGTGATTGTTTGAATTCCACTGAAGGATGTTGCATTTCCTTCTCGTGTATGTCCATCGCCCTATATTTTTCTGTGTTCAAAATACTCCTTTCTCATATATAACTTTTGTCTATGTAGAAAACATTAGGTGATTTCTTCTCATCTGCCTAAGCCTTGGGGGGCAAGTTACCTGGTATGTGTACTGGTGGGAGGTATCATGTATCCGGTGAAATAGTTGAGTTGTGCGCAAATTGGCCCAGTCACCGCATCATTAAAAAAAGGTTCCTTTGTTGCCTCTTCATTTCAAGTTCAGAAGATAAACTATTTGTTGTAGTTGAACTGCAACAGCAACAATAACAAAAGAAACCTAGTATAGTCCCACAAATGGGGTATGGGGAGGATAGTGTATACGCAGACCTTACCACTACCTTGAAGGTAGTGTGCGCAGACCTACCTTGCAGTTCAACTGCAATGCTTGTTAGTTCGTAAAACATATCCGGATGAAATACAGACTATGTTATGCTTTAGATGGAAAGAGGAAATTATGAGAAAATATGATTCATGTTTTTCCTTCGGATTAGATATGTGATTTGGCAAATTGGAGTATCAATTTTTCTGTACTTTTGACTTCTATACTTGCAGATAATGGGAAATGCATTTTTATTGTTGAAAAGCTACTTCAGCCTGCTACTCTTTGCACTTAAAGCTCTACACTTAAAGGTTTATATTATGCACTTAAAGTCCTACACTTAGAGGTTTATATTAGCTCCAGAACACAAGAGAGACTTGCTGCATTATTGGCTGTTCCAAATTGTGTTTAAATTGCTAAAGTCCAGCGTCCTAATACTATTATTAAATAATAATAATAAGGAATATACCAACACAAGATCTTCTAAATCTTGAGATGGAAATTCCTATACATTCTCTTCTATTTGATTACTTGTAAATCACTAAGAAAAAATAAGAAAAAAGACAAAAAGACCTCCTGATTCTATTTATAGAAAAAATAGAAATCTTTAAAGAATTTCTTATTAAAGAAGAAATAAGATAAGTAATTAATTTAGAATTCCCCGTCTTTAGAGAAAATCCTGGATGAAAACGAGAGAAACAAGAGAATTTGTATAAGAGTAATATATAGTTAGAAGGTTTAATCTGAACCTGGTGCTTGAAGATGAATTGCGGTGAGAATAAGGAGTCCAATGTTGATTTTCAAATACAAGATGAGGCAGAAAGGCTGCTTAATGAGATTGAACTGATGATAAAGAATGTTGAGGACTCTGAATTGTATGCTGGAATGCGTTTCGAGCTCGAACGGAATGAAACAATTCAAAATCATTTGTTTCGCCTTTTAGGCTCCCATTCACATGTGCAGGTGGTAATCTATGCTTTGGGAAGCATGGAATACAGTTTTCATTCACAGTTTCAGCTTGCCGNGCGTTTCGAGCTCGAACGGAATGAAACAATTCAAAATCATTTGTTTCGCCTTTTAGGCTCCCATTCACATGTGCAGGTGGTAATCTATGCTTTGGGAAGCATGGAATACAGTTTTCATCACAGTTTCAGCTTGCCGTAGTTCTCCTACTAAAACGAGATTTTTCCAATTGGATTGGCAATATAGAAGTGTACGATCCTGACTTTTCTTCAGCTGATATCATAGTTTTAAAGGAACAGGGTTTTGAGGTTTTGAACATTGATGAAAATTGTAAGAGGCAAGTTCAGAGACCAACAATGTTCTACATGCCTGTTCCTAGTTATTGTCTTATAGGCTACCTGCTGGGAGTGAACTGGTCTTCGTCTTGTATTAACCAGATTTTTCTTCTGACAAACTCATTTCGTGATGCGTTGACCACTATTTCACCATGTAGTTTGAATAGAGAAACAGTGCAACACCTGGAGAGAATTATCCCCTTCACAACAGAGGTTGACATAAAAACTAGCTATGCAGAGATCTATACTAATGTGTTCTCAAAATTTGCCTGGCATTTCTTTGATGTGGATCCCAACATTGACATGGAAACTTCACTGCCTGGTACTGGATTTCTCTCTATCTTGATTCAAGTTGGAGAATTTATTGGTTGGACTCAGGACATGTACACTGAACAGATTTATCTTTTTTGATTCAGTGACTGAAATTATAGTATATAAAAGAAATGACAAAGAAGACTGTTCTTGGTTGGATATGCAAAGGTACATATATGTGAGACTAGATACTGAACTTTCCCTTTATTGTCGAATACAATTCCCTTATGTAGTTCTGTTGATTCTGGGAAACATTGGTGCTGCCAGTTAGCATATCGTTGAAGTCATCATCCCTTTACTTTCTCTCTGTACGATTGTTTCCTTTCGTTCTCTCGTGATAAGATGTCTATACATGCATTTATTTTCGTGCTAGCTGGAAAACATAGATTCTTTTTGTTGGAATATGCAAAGTACTTCGAAATTATTTTCTTACACGAAACTGTAGAGTTATAAAGGTGAGCTGAAGGAACCACAGGAGGGTAAAGTATATTTCATTCTTATGATTTCACTTCTAATTTCGTCTCGCAGGTCTCTTGAAGAAAATATTTTGGAAGACATGCAAATCGATATAAGCAGTGAGGGATGGGCGCAATTTTTTGGTGAATATCGTGGGCCTCGTCGTTTAAGATGCAACTCCGTTCCTCCCCCTTCAGGTTGGATTAAGCTAAACATCTATGGGATTGGTAAAGCTGGTGATCAGCAAGGACGATATAGTGGCGTCTTCCAAGATGAAACTGGAATCCTTTTAGGCAGCTACAGTTGTACCATTCATGTTGACGACAATGTGATTGCTGGACTGGAGGCCTTGAGGCACGGGTTAATCAGATGCACGGAAGGAAAGCCGAATGCACAAAAGTTGATTGTGGAGTCCGATAATTTTATACTTGTCCAATTTGTTAATCGTCGCCCTGAGCCAAAAGAAATAATCATGTCCAGGTTGAAAGAAATTTTTGGCTTGATGGAGCGTATAACTTGTGTAATTTACCATGTCTATGAAGAAGCCAATGAAGCTGCTAGAGACTTGGCTCTGAGAGATGAACGTCACAATCGTGCATAGATAGCTTTGTTTTTGGCTCAAGGATAGGGTGAGGCTTTCTAGGTTCAACTATCCAGGTTTCAAATGCAATTTGCGTTCTGTGGAAGGTGATGTTGCAGCAGACATGGATCCTGACAGTACGCAGTACACATCACACCGACTTCTCATTACTATTTTTTTTGTTTGTCAAATGATGATGAATGCAACATTGAAAAGCAAAAAAGAAAAAAGAGAAAAACAAATGCATTCCTGAGGACTATATGTTAACTAATTTGTGCAAACTGAAGCAATTTTTGTGATCTATGTTAATGTTCATTGAATGTATTTAGTCGTCCTTGTCTATTTAATTTGATAATATTTACTGTTTGGACTAAAGTTTTCAGCCCAAGAATGAAAAATATGTACCTTGTTTTAATGAGGCAAGAGCAAGATATGAGATATTGTTGAAAAATCAAATAATCTATAGGAGCTAATTAAGGCCAATACTGTTCCTGCAACACCATGGGGAACATGCAGATGCTGTAAATAAAGTTGGGAGATTAAGGATAGAAACCAAACTTTTCAAAAATGGATGATAAGTCAATTGCTCTTCCACTGTTATTAAAGAAGCTGTTGATCTGGTACACACCTGTAGTTAGTTCTACGTTCTTCTTGTTCGTAGTTGTCTTTCAATGTACAAACTCTTACAGTAAGTCAGGAATTAAGATATAAGAAGTGATATGCTTCCCTCAGGTTCCTATTATCCTTCCAAAAGCAGTGCACTCCAGGCCTTTTACTTATGAAATATATCCGCACTGCCCAAGTATTAGCTTTGTATAAAGTGTCGTGCTTCTTGACTGCGGATACAGCTTACCGAATCAGAGAACGTGCACGTTCAATCTGTTGTTAGTAGATTTACTTTGGATCATGCATGCTTGAACTAGCACTTATTTTATATGAATTTGTGGGTGTTCATACCATGCATTTTGTAAGAGTATGGGGCTTTTAGTGATTAGACAAATTTACGTGGTGGCGATATGTGAATTTCTGCCAGAGGCATCAAAGTCTTTTACAATGAAGCAGCTGATGATGAATGTAAGATATTCAAGCGAACTGTGTGACAATGGCAGGTACTTATTCAAGGAATTTGTTAAGAGCAAAATGTGGACTAGACACAATTAAGGTTTTACTCAAGCAGATTATTGCATCAGATTATGCTTGTTATCTTTTACCTTTATATCAACATTTTCTGTCATGTATCTAATCATCTTGGATAAGGACTATTGTAATCAGCTTTTATGCATGTAATGAATTTGCTTATTAGCTGCACAGTTGCTGGAACTTGCAGTATTTCTAGCTATCTTACAGTTGATTTTGCTGCCTGACAATAGTAAAGTTTACTGAGATTTGCTACCTGTGACCATAATCTAACACTGAGATTAAACTTCTTGATCATACTTAAACCTGCTGAAATAAAGTTGAATCATTAATTCACTTGATTCATTCTAATTTCTTCAATCTTGGGAGGCATGTGCTAAAAGTAACTAGTTGTGTATAGAATAGTGATTACATTGAAGCATATGTATTTTTCATTGTACTCACAAATGAACAACTTTTTTACAAAAATACATAGGAATCTTATTGTTGAGAGAGAATCAGATATAATGAGTCAATCACCACCTTTACATCCAAAATGAATTAATTTACTGGATTTACAGTACAAATTATTTATTGTGATTATAGTTTGACTCCAACAGAGATTGAACAAGAGCTTGCTGAGTAATAGCCTTTTGGCCAAGTTGGCAAAATCCGCTTATTTTGAGAAGTGTTTTTTCCTAAATTGCTTTTCGAAAAAGTACTTTTGGAGAGAAGCAGTTTGTGTTTGGCTAATCAATCTGAAAAACACTTTTGAGGAATAATTTGTATTTGGCCAAGCTTTCATGAAGAGATTTACTTAATAGTTACTATTATATGAATATATAAATAATCTCAAATGTTTATTATTAAAGATAATAATTAAGTTTTTTCATTTTATTTAAGTAAAACATGAAAATAAAATTAAAAAGTACTTTAATTCTTTCAAGATGATTTAAATATATCAAAAAATCGTTTAACAAATATAAAAGCATTCATCCCAAAAGTTACCATATATTAGAAAGCTATCATAAAAATAAAAAAAAATATTTATACATTAGGAGAGTTANAAAAAAAAACCTTTTCCAAACACCTCAAGTTGAGAAAAAAGTGCTTTTTTAGAAAAAAAACACCTTTGGGGTGGGGAGAAGCTTGGCCAAACAGGCTATTACTCTATATATTATGTGAATGTAACAATTGTCGATTTCATTGCGTGGTACTTTAGTATTCCCTCTGTTTCAAATTAATGAGGTACTTTCCTTTTTAGTTTGTTCTAAAATAAATGACACATTTCTAAATTTGGAAATAATTCAAATTTAAACTCTTCATTTTACTCATTTTACCCTTAATGAGAAGCTTTTATAACCACATAAATGTCATGGCCCCATAAAGCCGTTACCCCTTAAGCTTTTAAGGCCACAAGTTTCAAAAGTCTTTTTTTTTTCTTAAACTCCGTGCCGAGTCAAACTACCTCATCTAAATTGAAACGGAGGGAGTACTATTTACTTTGAAAGTGGTTCTAATAATATCAAGATTATGAACGCCATTTAGCATTAAGATGCCATAGAGTGTAATACCATTTTCCTTGCACTTACTGTGACAAGGGCATGCAACCAGGTGGAGGAATTGATAGACTCATACTGCTTGTTCTAGTCCTGTCCTCATGAATCAGTGGTATTTTTATCAGCCAAATGTGGTAAACATGGGATTGAATAGGAAAAGAGACAGTGGTCTGCTTAGTTTATTAAGAAGGAAGCGGTGCCCGCAAGAAATAGGTTAACTTAGCAGCTTTTCGTCCAAAAGGCTAGGAAAAAATTGTACTCAATAGGAAAGTTATTTGACTATTTTCTTATTTGCTTTGACCATTAAAAACTAAAGCAAAATCAATGAATTAGTTGTTGCTTAAGCGGTCCATTACCCATTTCGTAGTTCAAGATCCCTCTTGGCTCTTACTAAGAATAGTAGATTTGCTTCGTCTGGGAAAATCCGGCTTTACTAAATATTAGAGATGTCACTGGTGGTATCTTCCCATCCAGCAAGCTTTTGTTTGATGTCCTTTTTCCTTTTTATCTTATTTGATTCGATAGGGATGGTGGTAGTATTTTGACTTTGGTGCGTCTCCTAGTTAGCCTCGAGTCTTACCATGCCAATGATGAAATTAGTCGGCTTCATATTACTAGTTTCTTAGGGATAGAGGAGCTTCAGAATGTTGTTGTGACCATCCTCTGGGATATTCACAGAGGATACAAGGATGCTTGTTCTTAGTTGATTGGATGTCCTACTCATCCATACAGTTGGACATTATTAGTATAAGATTATGCTCCCTGTGACAAAATCTATGTACTGTTTCTGTCTAAACACTTTAGGCAATTTTAGCTGGACATCATCCAAAACTTTCAATTGACGTCTTGTTGGTTGCTATTTTTGGTTCAGCTGTGAATTCCAGCTGCTTGGGTGTTGGTTCTTACAACCAGTTTATTCAGTTGATCATGTAGAATTTTAGTTATTTGCTGAAAACTTTTTTCTGCCATGAATTTAATCTTGAATGTATGATCTCTTACATTAATGTCTAAGTTGTTATATCAGCGAAGCTCAATGTGATCCTTGTTTCTTCAAGTTATTGAGCTGTGCGTTAACGTTGAAAGAATCTGAGAATCGGTTTAAATGAGAAAACTGTTAACATTTTGGAAGCCTGATATATATTTCCTCAGATCGTGTATGGTATCAATTTCTCCTTGAAATTTTCTTTTCACTTTTTTTGTTTCTGCAGCATCCTTTTACCTATTGTCTTTTCCTGAACTTGTTTGAAAATGCTTCTAAAGAAAAGATTCAATTGAAATTGTGACTGCTATCGTATTGATCACGCTAACTTGCATCCTTCACTACTTCTCTTGGAATTTATCAAAGAAGAGTGACTTGGAGTATATTTGATTGACTGATAGAGGACAGATATGAAAGCCAAAGAAGTGAAATTGTTTCTGATTGTCATGTATAGATAATCACGCGTAGGAAATCATTCATGTCTGGATAAGCGAGAAACAAGAGAGGAAGTATAGATTACTTATTAAGAAAAAAATGAAGGAAGAAGATGCTGTATTAGTCAATATTAGAACAAGTTCGTTATTAGTTTACTTATGGTTCCTTTTGGATTTGACAAGAAAATACACACAATATAAGAGCTGTCAAGCCTTTATGTAGGAGAAAAGATATATTTGCACAAGTACTTGATTCCCCTATATCCAAATCCCTTTACTGCATTTAATGTATCGATATTTGACACCAAAAACTAGTTCACATTTAATTTCTTTCATTCTATTTGGACGCAAAAATTAATTCTTTGTAGATTACAATCTGGAGTCCATAAGATATTCGTGGGGATGTGTCAAGGAAAGGTTGAAAAGACAATGCAGCCCTGGCATTGTGTGTTAAAGCGTCGTTCCCTATGCTGAAGTACCCAATCTTTTTCTCTGCATTCCTTGTTTATCAGGGTGAAGCAAAGCGTATTTGGTTGAAAGACCAAAATAGCCCTAACGATGTGTGTGAAGGCGGAGAGGCCTATGATGTGCTCATTTTTCTTCCTTTCCAATTAATTTATTGAATAGCTGCGCGAGACATACCCTATTTGCCTTCGTCCTTCCTCTGGCGGTAGATCAGCTTTCTGGTGGTACTTCATGTCAGGGTAAGCAAAATCTTATTTGATTGGTTGTGTCAACTCATTTACCTCTACATCCTTCCACAAGTGACTGATCTTTTGCTTTTGTGAGGGCTTTTCGCTTGTGCCTTCCTATTCTGCAGGCCCATGNCCCATATGAATTTTGTCGAATAACTTTGAGTTGTTAAGTGTTTCCATGAGTTTTCAATTATCGTTGGCCTTCTTCCCGGCGTATCTAGAAAATGATTCATTGCTACATTTACCTCGGTTATTTACATTTTCCCTTTCGAAAGTTTTCTAAATGTATCTGTTGATTTACTTCCAATGCTAGTTGCGGAAATTTGTGGAAAATTAGCAGTTAATTCCATGTTATGGATGGGGCTCTGGTAATGACATTTGAGTCAAATGCCATATATCTGCTGACTATTTGTGTTTATTTGAAGTATTAGTTGTGTGCATATATGGAAATGAAGTATGTTCTCAATTATTGTGATCTTGTTGAGGGATATTTTGTTATGGAAACTTTCATCGTGGAGATTGCCATTAAATTGCTATTTGAACACCCTTCATGTTGCTAGTCCACACTCTTTGCAGGTTTATATTAAGCCCAGGACACACGAGATAGTTGCTGCAACATTAGCTGTTTCAGATTAGTGTGTAACTGCTAAAGCTGACCCACAGGTGAAAAGATGAATCACGGTGAGAATATGGAGTCCAATATTGATTATCACATACAAGATGAGGCAGAAAGGCTGCTTAAAGAGATTGAACTGATGACGAAGAATGTTGAGAACTCTAAATTATATGCTGAATTGTGCTTCGATCTTGAACAGAATGAAACAATTCAACAACATCTGTTTCGCCATTTAGGCTCCCATTCACGCATTCAGCTGGTAATCTATTCTTTGGGAAGCATGGGATACAGTTTTCATTCACAGTTTCAGCTTGCCATAGTTCTCCTATTAAAACGAAATTTTTCCAATCTGATTGGCAATATAGAAGTATATGATCCTGCAATGTCTCCCACTGATATCATAGTTTTCAAGGAACTCGGTATTGAGGTTCTAACCATTGATGAAAATTGTAAGAGGCAAGTCCAGAAACCAACAATGTTCTACATGCCTTATCCTGATTATAATCTTATTGGCAACCTGCTGGGAGCAAACTGGTCTTCGTCTTGTATCAACCAGATTTTTCTATTGACAAACTCATTTCGCAGTACATTGAACGTTATTCGACAGTGTGATTTTAGTGGAGAAACTGTGCAACGTCTAGAGAGAATTTTCGGTTTCACAACAGAAATTGACATACAAACTAGCTATGACATGATGTATATTAGTTTGTTCTCAGTATTTTCTTGGCATTTCTTTGATGTGGATCCCGACGTTGACATGGAAACTTCACTGCCTGGTACTGGATTTCCTTCTACTTTGATTTAAATTGGATAATCTATTGGTTGGTCTCATGACACGTGCACTGAACAGATTTATCTTTTGTTGGTTCAGTGACTGAAATTACAGAATATAAAAGAGATGTCAAACTGGGACGTTCTTGGTTGGATATGCAAAGGTACTTATATGTGAGATATATACCTTTCTATATTTTATCGAGTACAGTTCTCTTATTATTTCTGTTAATTCTGGGAAACTGTGGTGCTGCTAATTAGCATATCATTGAAGTCATTAGCCCTTTACTTCCTCTATGTGTATGATTGTTTGAATTCTTTCCCCTCATGAATTGTGATAAGATGTGTTTTACACATGAATGATTTAAGTGCTAGATGATGATCTAGAATTTGTTGTTTGGGATGAGCAAAGTACTTTGAAATTATTTGCTTACACGAAACTATAGAGTGATAAAGGTGAGTTGAAGGAACCAAAGGAGGGTAAAGCATACTTCATCCTTAAAGATTTAACTTTTAACTTTCGTCTTGCAGGTGTCTTGAAGAAAATCTTTTGGAATATATGCAAAGTGATATGACTAGTGAGGAATTAGCGCAAATTTTTGGTGAACATCGTGGGCCTCGTCATTTAAGATGCAACTCAGTTCCTCCTCCTCCAGGTTGGATTAACCTAAACATCTATGGAATTGGTAAAAAGGGTGATCAGCCAGGACGATATAGTGGTGCCTTTCAAGATGAAACTGGAATGTGTTTAGGTAGGTATAGTGGTACCATTCATGTTGACGACAATGTGATTGCTGGACTGGAGGCCTTGAGGCACGGGTTAATCAGATGCACGGAAGGAAAGCCGAATGCACAAAAGTTGATTGTGGAGTCCGATAATTTATACTTGTCCAATTTGTTAATCGTCGCCCTGAGCCAAAAGAAATAATCATGTCCAGGTTGAAAGAAATTTTTGGCTTGATGGAGCGTATAACTTGTGTAATTTACCATGTGTATGAAGAAGCCAATGAAGCTGCTAGAGACTTGGCTCTGAGAGATGAACGTGATAATCGTGCATAGATAGCTTTGTTCAAACAGGTTTCAAATTCAATTCGCATTTTATGGAAAAGCGATGTTTTGGTTTGTCAAGGAGAGACTTGAAGAATGGATGTTTAAGTTGTCAGGATAATTTACATTTTAACTTTTGTTTAATTTTGCTTTGGATGTTTAGGATGATATACCCTGCCTGGTCTAACTTTATTTTTAACATAATGGTCTCTGTGTTCCGAGTGTTAGAACTATATATAATTGGAAATTTGGCATGATCCTAAATCTTGGAAAGATCAGAAGAAAGTGAATATTAGCTATATTCTTTTCTTTTGGTGGATTATAATTTATACCATGCCCTAAAATTAGAGAAATTCCTTTAATAGTTTCACTATCCATATTGTAAGTTAGAAAGGGAGCCTAGGAGCAGCTTTAAAGTTGTCTCTGTGTGACTTATAGGTCATGAGTTCGAGCCCTGGAAATAACCACTAATGCTTACATTAGGTTAGGCTGTCTACATCATACCTATTGAGGTGTGGCTCTTCTCCGGACCCTGCGTGATCGAGGGAAGCCTTGAGCGTAGGGCTGCCCTTTTACCATCCATATTGTGATTTAACTTATTGAATATATCGTGTCTAGGTTACTTTATTATTGATTAGTGTTGTGTGATTTTACTTTATCTGACCTAGTGTCTAACAGTTATCACTGTGAACCTTAATTGTTTGTACAGGAGGGTGAATTGCGCCCTGATTAAAATTTGGTCGACTAAATGGGGATTTTGGTCAGCTAATTGTGAATACTCTGCACAGTAAGTTAACAGGATATTCCACAAACAACATAAAAGTGAAGTGCAGTAAAGTAAATGACACCATTAATTTTGCACTAGTATGCGCACTGCTTACATCCGATCCCCTTGAAGTGCAAGAGTGTTATCTTTTAGAGCTCTTGAAATTGAATTGTTTAAAACCTTGTGTGGTTTTGTTACACTCATCACTAATGTTTACCGCTGCTGGTTTTCGCTCGATCACCAACAAACAAACCCTTTGATTTTCTAGATCACCCAAGAAACTATGATTCTTTTTGTACACGTAAGACTTGAATGACAGAGAATTACTGGTATTTGAAGAATAAGAGAGGGAAATTGAGAGTGAAGCTGTCTGTCTTCTTTTGAAGAGCTAGTATTTATAGCATGTCTTGTGTTAGGCTTTTGCATAAGTTAGAAGAGTTTGGTGATTATTCCTCTATCTTCCTTCTGGCATTGTATATAAAACAACAACAACAACTATCCAGTAAAATCCTACATAGTGGGATTTGGGAAAGGTAATGTGTACGCAGACCTTACCCCTGCCCCGATAGAGGCAGAGGAGCTGTTTTCGATAGACCCTCGGCTCAGAAAGACGAAGATAAAATAAGAAACAAGAAAAGAGAATTCATTAGTAACTCCAGTAGAAACCGTAATAGTAACAGAAGCATAAAAACCAAAAGATGAATGACATGCCATAACAGTAACCAGAATCTAAGGCCCGGGGCTAAGATAAACAACAAGAATAGTGTGGGTTCAACATAAACTGCAAGTCATCTAAGATCAACCCTAGTCCAACCCCGCCTCACCCCCGGTATGAAGTAAGGAAAGCTTTACTACCCCTATCCTACAACCCTAATGCTTGACCTCCAGACTTTCCTATCAAGGGCCATGTCCTCGGAAATCTGCAGTCGTACCATGTTCTGCCTGATCACCTCTCCCCAATACTACTTAGGTCTCCCTCTACCTCTTCTCGTATCCACCACGGCCAACCGCTCACACTTCCTCACTGGTGCATCCCTATCCTACAACCCTAATGCTTGACCTCCAGACTTTCCTATCAAGGGTCATGTCCTCGGAAATCTGCAGTCGTACCATGTTCTGCCTGATCACCTCTCCCCAATACTACTTAGGTCTCCCTCTACCTCTTCTCGTATCCACCACGGCCAACCGCTCACACTTCCTCACCGGTGCATTAAGGCTTCTCCTCTGCACGTGCCCGAACCATTTGAGCCTCGCTTCCCGCATCTTGTCATCCACAGGGGCAACGCCCACCTTCTTCCGAATATCTTCATTCCTGATCTTGTCTATCCTACCATTGTATATCTTCTCCTTAATTAATTCTGAGCGATGCGTGTTGGTTCTTTGATTGAAGGCTACACCTTAAATTTGAAAGTCTGCGATTGCGAACTTCTCTTGAATCTCCAATTTTATTTTGTACCAATAATTAAAATACTTAGGAGGCTAACATTAATGTTCAGCCATCTGAAAAATGTAAAGAACATTAGCTCCATTTTTTTTTTCCTTTTAGACTTATAGAAGCAAAAATAAAAGTTTTTTGGTTTCTCTTGGTGCTGTTGTTTCTTTTCGTTGAAATACTGAATCATTTAACAGCATTATACAATGGAGCAAAAAACTTTGGGTTGCCCCTAGTTCCACATTTGCACGAATACATCTTCAATCAAAGGTTTTGCAATTAGAAATACCATTGTTTCGTACACACGAAAATGTTCCCCTTGGCTTTCAGCCTATCATGACCAATTTGTTCTGACTTCCCTCTCTTCCTTTGTCGCAGCAAAAAACTAAAATGGACTACTTTTTTAAAATATTGGTTCGTTTCAGCTAGTTTCCAAGATACAAATTACAATGCAACACATTCTAGCACTGCTTTCTTTGGTTTTCTTTTGCTCTTTTTGGTGTACTGCACAAAGTGAAAAATGGACAACCTTCTTAAGAGGCCACAAATAAAGGGTGGCTTGAGTTCAAGGTTGAGGAAGGGGATGCAGAAACTTAAGATAGTTGGATATTCTTGGAGGCTTTAGTCCAAGGTTGCACTATATTGCCGATATAAGGGTGAAAATAACACGGGCTAGCTAGTTTTCGGACTGGTAATTGAAAAATAGCCAGTATTAATAGCCAACATTTTTAAAGTCGTTGAAAAATAGCCATTATTTTACTACAACACGGAAAGTTCCAACATAATATACCAGAGATTGGTGCACTTGTGTATGAACTTCCAGCATATTATGCTGGAACTCCAGTACACGGAAAGTTCCAGCATAATATACTGGAGATTGGAGCACCTGTGTATGAACTTCCAACATATTATGCTGTATCAGTATATTATGATGGAGTTTCAGTTATTATTTATACCGGAACTCCATCATAATATACTGGAGTTCCAACATTATATACTGGAACTCCAGTATATTATGCTGGAAGTTGACATGTAACTAATTCGAACTCCAGTATATTATGCCGGAATATTTTTCGGATTTTGAACAGTGTTTTCGTTCAGATTTATCTACATGAAAAGTGGCTAAATTTCGATTACTTTTGATACTATGACTATTTTTTAATTACCCACTTGTAAATCTGGCTATGTTTGAATTTCACCCGATATAAGGTGTTACTCTTTCTGTCCCATTTGATGTAGCATATTTTTTTTTTCTTTCTAATTTGCCCAAGCAAGAATAGCGCCTTTTCCTATTTGAAAACTATTTAAATTAAGCTCCTAATTTTATCCGTAATTAATTTGTTTGGACCACTTAATATAAAGGCCTATTCATTTATTAGGAAATGGATTTCCGGGGATTTTTATGCAAATAAGCATCCGTATTCTTTGTTTACTTTTTTTAGCCATATACATAAATTATATATTGATTATACACAATTATACACATATAATACCTAAATTAAGAATATATTATACTTCCACCGGCTATTTTTAGTTTAAATAGTCGGGTGGACGGCTATTTGAATTAATGCTTCAAATAGAAAATGAAAAAATATATGAAACTATCGAAAAAGAGATGAAGGAGCGTCAACTAGATCGATAGGCCAAAGTGATCAGCTTATTAGACTAACTAATCAGCGATCCTTTGACCTACCTAACACAAGTATCTCTGAAATTGGAGCAGCAAAGTCATTTTGCTGTCACTGAAAGCTCAATCACATAATCGATATTAAAAAAAACATATCTTTAAACCTATCCTTCAATAAAGGTATTGAAGTCGAGGCCGACCCAAAAAGGATTTTTAATAGATCCACAATTACATTAAATTTTTAATTATTGATACGTAGAAAATTTTGATACGTTAGACATAGTAGCTTATGTATTAATAGTCTTTAATTAATTCTCAAACTTTATTATATATATCCAGCTAAATAACTTCAGATAAACTGGGCCTCAAAAAATAAATTATGATTTATACACCAACTGTATAATACAATAATTTTTTTCACTATTAATACAATTTAACCTATTATTATTCATCACTTATTATTTATTTTAAGTTATTAATTATCCATGTTATTAAATAGAATGGTCTGAAATTACATTTTTAGTGATATGATATGAAATTACATTTTGAGATTACATTGTGGAAGTAATTTTTACACGGACTGTTAACTCTTAGGGGTCGTTTGGTATGATGGATAAGCAAAGATAATCTTGGGATAAAAATTTAGTACCATTTTATTCTTTGTTTGATTACTAATCTTGGGATAAATTATCTCATGATTAAAAATAATACCGGAATAACTTAGGTAAATAAGTGATCCAAGATAACACAGTAAAAATAACAACCTAGATTAATACAACATACAGTACCAAATAATTAATAAAAAATAATATCAGGATAACTATTCTCAACATAACTTATTTCAATATAACTAATCCCTTTGTCTTCAAACCAAACGACCCCTTATTTTATTAGTGGACTCGCTTGCATATATTTGGTTCAACTTTAGCGCGCTTTCTCCTCCTCCAACGCCAACACTTTTGCCCTACTCTGCTCTCTTTCTCCGGCGGAATCGACATGTAAGTGCACTTCTTCTTTCTCGCTATAGCTCTCTATTCCCACCATCCCCACTTTTTTCTTCATATATTTGGGGTTTTTTCTTTTATAAAAAAATGGCGTTGCGAGAAGTTATTTGCATTTGATTTTGTCTGATATTAAGGTCGTCGAAGCTGGAAACGACAACAAGTGATTACTTGAAGGTAGCTCTTCAATCGCGAGGGACCATTTGCTGAGGGCTATACACTTCCAGTGACCGTTGCGGTCAGTATCTCCTCTTTTACTCTTAATATTTCTTATTTTTTTTATTTCTTTAATTTTTTGATGGTAAAACTAAATTATAGGTATGTGTTTTGTGAGGATTCGGTTAAATTGCATTCGTAATTAGTGATTGCTTTGAATTTGACTAAAGGATCTCGCATTACCACCGCCCTATAATTTTCTGTGTTCTTTTGGTGCCACTTGTCAATGAAGTGCGAGGAGAACATGAGGTAAAAATACTAGGTGATTTCTTCCTATTTGCTTAAGACTTGGGGGGAAGAGTTACCTGGTACCTGTACTGGTAGGAGGTATCAGGTGGAGTTGAGGTACTCGCAAATGGCCCTGATTCATTAAAAAAAGAAGGCCAATCATTTTAAGTTCAGAAGAGCAACAGTTTTGCTGCAATTTTTTTACCTTTGAATAAAATAAAATTCTAAAAAAATAAGATTGATGTTTTTCCTTGGAGTTAGATTTATGATTTGGCACTTTACAGTATCAATTTTCATTAGTGCAAAGGTTCTTTGTGAATCTGTACTGGTAGTTGAAGTAGGTGACTGCAACTTTAGTTCAGAATAGCTTATATTCGTACTCAATGATTGCAAATCCTGCGTGATTGGTTTTGAATGGGTTAAAGAAAGTAGATGAATGGATTGCCCCTAAACGGAAGAAGTTGAGTTCAGAAGAAGTTGGTTTTTGAACTTAGTGATTACAAATCATACAAGATTGTTCTGAATGGGTTAAAGAAAGAGGGTATGTTCATATTCCTCTTATCTCTTAGTACCCTCTTCTATATCAATTAAACCCATTTATAATAGAGAAGATGTCAACTGAGTGCTTCTTGAAATATCTCGTGGCGTCAAGTAAGCAACATTTGATGTGCAGCAAGTATACTTTTAGCCTGCTAGCAATTCTGTAATTTTGAGTTCGATACTTGCAGATAATGAGAAATGCATTTTGTAGCTGAAAAGCTACTTCAGCATGCTACTGATTTTGTACTTTAAGTACCACACTTGCAGGTTTATATTAACTCCAGAACAAAGTACTACACTTACAGGTTTATATTAACTCCAGAACATAAGAGTGAGTTGCTGCATTATTAGCTGTTTCAAACAGTATTTAAATTGCTAGACCCCAACGTTAATCTGAACCTGGGGCATAAAGATGAATTCCAGTGAGAATATGGAGTCCAATGTTTATTTTCACATAAAAGATGAGGCAGAAATGTTGCTTAAAGAGATTGAACTGATGATGAAGAATGTTGAGAACTCTGAAATGTATGCTGGAATGCGCTTCGATCTCGAACAGAGTAAAACTTTTCAACAACATCTGTTTCGCCTTTTAGTCTCCCATTCACATGTCCAGGTGGTAATCTATGCTTTGGGAAGCATGGAATACAGTTTTCATTCGCAGTTTCAGCTTGCCGTAGTTCTCCTACTAAAACGAGCTCTTCCCAATTGGATTGGCAATATAGAAGTATATGATCCTTTATTGTCTCCAGCTGATATGATAGTTTTGACGAAACTGGGATTTGAGGTTTTGACCATTGATGAAAATTGTAGGAGGCAAGTTCGGAGACCAACAATGTTCTACATGCCTGTTCCTAATTATAATCTTCTTGGCAACCTGCTGGGAGCAAACTGGTCTTTGTCTTGTATCAACCAGATATTTCTACTGACAAACTCATTTCGCCATTCATTGACCAGTATTTCACCATGTAGTTTGTATGGAGAAACAGTGCAACGTCTAGAGAGAATTCTCCCCTTCACAACAGAGATTGACATAAAAACTAGCTACAAGCAGATCTATACTAATGTCTTCTCAAGATTTGCTTGTCATTTCTTTGATGTGGATCCTAACATTGACATGGAAACTTCACTGCCTGGTACTAGTTTTCTTTCTATCTTGATTCAAGTTGGAGAATTTATTGGTTGATCTCATGATACTTGCACTAAACAGATGTTTTTGTTTGTTGATTCAGTGACTAAGATTACAGGATATATAAAGGATGGTGGACAGCGACCTTGGTTGGATTGGCAAAGGTACTTAAATGTGAGACTAGATACTGAACTTTCTATTTATTACTGAATGCAGTTCTTATATGCAGAGCCAGCTAATTCTGTTAATTGTTGATTCCTGGAAACAACGGTGTTTCAACTTAGCATATCATTGAAGTCATTGCCCTTTTACTTTCTCTTGTTCTTTACACATGCGAATGACTTAAGTTCTTGCTGGAGAATCTAGATTTTGTTGGTTGGATTATGCAATGTAATTTGAAATTTTTTGCTTAATTGAAACTATAGAGTGATAAAAGTGAGCTGAAGGAGGAACCAAAGGAGGGTAAAGTGTGCTTCATCCCTAAAGATGTAACTTTCAACTTTTGTATTGCAGGTATTTTGAAGAAGCATTTTTGGAATATATGCGAAGTGATATGACTAGTGAGGAATTTGCGCAAATTCTTGGTGAATATCGTGGGCCTCGTTGTTTAAGATGCAACTCGGTTCCTCCTCCTCTAGGTTGGATTAAGCTAAACATCTATGGGATCGGTACAGAAGGTGATCAGCCAGGACGATATAGTGGCGTCTTTCAAGACGAAACTGGAATGTGTTTAGGTAGGTATAGTGGTGCCATTCATGTTGAAGATAATGTGATTGCTGGACTGGAGGCCTTGAGGCATGGGTTAGTCAGATGTGTGGAAGGAAAGCCGAATGCACATAAGTTGATTGTGGAGTCAGATAATGTTATACTTGTCCAATATGTCAATGGTCACCCTGAGCCAAATGAAATAACCATGAATAGGTTGAAAGAAATTTTTGACATGCTGGAGCGTGTAACTTGTGCAATTTACCATGTGTATGAAGAAGCCAATAAAGCTGCTAGAGACTTGGCTATGAGACATGAATGTCACAATCGTGCATAGATAGCTTTGTTTTCGGCTCAAGGGGTAGGGTGAAGTTTTCCTGGTTCAATTAGGTTTTCACATGTAATTTGCATTTTATGGCAAGTGGTATTGCAGCAGACTGATGCAAACACGGTCCCTGACAGTACACATCACAGAGCAGACACTTCTGTGTATGTCCGACTTCTCATACAGGTTTTTTTTTGTTTGTCAAGTGATGATGGATGCAACATTTGAAAAAGCAAAAAAGAAAGAGAGGAAAACAAATGCATTCCCGAGACAAAGGCAAGCCCTATATGTTATCTAATTTGTGCAAAGCGAAGCAATTTTTTTGATCTGTGTTAATGTTCACTGGAGTGTATTTAGTCATCTTTGTCTATTTAATTTGGTGATATTACACTATTTGAACTAAAGGTTTCAGCCCAAGAATGAAGATTATGTACCTTGTTTCATGAGGCAAGAGCGAGATATGAAATGTTGTTAAAGAATCTAATAAACTATAGGAGCAAATTAAGATCAATATAGTTCCTGCAACAACGTGGGGATCATAAATAAAGTTGGGAGATTAAGGATAGGAACTCTTTAAGAGTACTCATACAAGGAACTTGTTAAGAGTAAAATGTGGACTAAACATAATTAAGGTTTTACTCGACCAGATTATAGGCTCAGATTATGCTTGTTATCATACCTTTATATCGACATTTTCTATCAAGTGTCTAATTATCTTGGATTCAAAGACTACTGTAATTTCTCTGCTTTTGTATGATATACCTTTACGCACGTAATGAATTTGCTTATTAGTTGCACAGTTGCTGTAACTTCCAGTATTTCTACCTATCTTAAAATTGATTTTGCAGTCTGATCCATGATATAGTAAATTTTCCCTGAGATTTTCTACCTGTCACTATATTCTAACAATGAGATTAAACTTCTTAATTGTACTTAAACTTGCTGCAGTAAAGTTGAATCATTAATCTTACAGCCAGTTTGTTCTGTCGCTCATGTAGAATTTTAGCAATTTGCTTAAAGGAATTGCAGGGTAAGGGTGCCATGTGACCAGGAGGTCACGGGTTGCTGCCGTGGAAACAACCTCATGCACAAATCCAAGGTAAGTTTGCGTACAATAGACCCTTGTGGCTCGGCTCTTCCCCGAATCCCGCGCATAGCGGGAGCTTAGCGCACCGGGCTGCCCTTTTTTGCTTAAAAGAATTATTCTGTCATGGATTTGATCTTGAATGTATTCTCTTTACATTAATGGCAATATTGCTATATGGCAAAAGCTCAATATGATCCTTGCTCTTGTCAAGTTATTGAGCTGTACCTTAAAGTAGAAAGAATCTGAGAATGGGTTTAAATGGGGAAACTGTTACTTAAGATCTAGTATGGTATCAGTTTCTCCTTGAAATTTTCTGGTGTTTCACTTTTTTCTTTCTGCAACATCCCTTTTCCTATTGCCTTTTCCTGGACTTGTTTGAAAATGCCTTCCAAAGAGAAGATTTAGTCAGAGTGATTAAATGTTAATTAATGTTGATAAGCTAGCTAATTTCTGATTAACTGTGTAAAAAGTGGCTATTTGCCCATTTCTCCCACCTATATCTGGAATAGAGTTTTAGGCCTATTAATTGGCTAGACTCGGTTTTGACTAGGGAAAGGTAAATGTGGTATTTCCAACTTCTAAAAAATAATCTCTACCCCTTCCAACTATTATCCAAATATAACAATTGCCACTTGCTAAGTTTTACAAGGGAAGTTCAATCATTTATTTTCCCCTTCTTATTTGCCTACAAAGATTGATTGAGTTGGTTGGGTGAGTGGTGGGACGGATTTCCCTTACCAGCACTTCTCCAGTCAGAATTTGTCGCACCGGACTTGCCTAGTGCGGTTTATATTTCCTATGCAGTTTGCAAGCTATTGCACAGTGAGCAGTTTAT